TCAAATCGGATTGATATGAATAAGGTGATAATGTTGAGCTCTCTTGGCATTTTTGATATCAAGTATTACTTATATAATCAAAATATCAGTTACTCCTTCTAAACTTTGTTCAGCACAGTATGAAATATTATCTACTAAATAATTTGCTATCAAATTCTGAGTAAATCATAAAATTACTAACAATTCTGAAACACGCTTACGTCCAAACTTCACAATTTTTATCTAAATCTTCAATTTTCAACCGTATTTCTTGAATCTATCCAAATTTTCAATTGCAATATTTTTAAAATGACGAAATGAAAAAATCACAACTTACGTTCATTCTTCAATTTTGAAAAAAATATGAAATTGAATCATAAATTTGAAGCGAATTACCTTTTATTGTTTTCAATCAATCTTAAGTTATAAATTTATTAATTTAATGAGAAATGAAAGCAAATCATAGACTGTTTTCCATCTGAATTATGCAGAAACGAGGAAATACGACTGAAAATTAGCATAAACTTAAGAGTGAAAGGAATTATTCCAACATTTAAAAAGGCTAACTGTGCTGCATTTGTTAGTCTACAAACTAAGCTTATTTTAAAATGAAGCAATTATTAAGTAGTTTAAAATTGCTCTTTGAAGTGTAATTATATAATTCTTTTACTCATTTTTCTCATTTCTTTAACAATTTTTCAGGGCGGAAATCAATTAAAGTTCAGTTAGTACATCGCTTTGTGCTTTTTAATACGAAATTTTAATATTCTGTGGCGAATTTCAAATTATTCAAACCTTTGAAAGTGTTTTATAAATTATTGCATAGTTTCTTCAGTGATCGCTTATTAGCGATCATAATTTGAATTCAGAGCAAAGTAAAACTATTTAATATTTTCAATGCGATAAAGATGGAAGTCATTAATCACAAGTATAAAGCGATAAAAATAATTATCATAAAGATAGCATTAAGTTTCGTACTTGAAATTTAAAAGTTTCGTATAATTTTATCGCTTAATAGTCGTCATTTTATGCTCGTTAGTGAATTTAGCAAAATTAATATTCAAGATTGAAAATGGAAATAAATATTCTTCTGCAGTTTTAATATCCTCTGTTGTTTTCAACGCATTATCTGATAAGAAATAATAAAAATGAACTCAATCGATTAGTCGATCAAATATCAACCGATCATTCAATTAAATTAGCTCCTTATCACTATTAAGATAAGCACGTTTAGTTATTTTCATTCGTTAATCTGTCAAATAATAAATTGCCAAATATATCTGCACTCACAGTGAATAATCAAAGTGTACAACTATCTGCAAATTAAACAGAACAGATTAATTTACATTCATAGATTCCTCATCAAAGATCATCTCTGCTTCAGTAATTATATCCGTCAAATTAATAAAATATGTTTTTTGGTCCCCAGAAAATAAAAGATTGTATGAAGAGATTAAGTGTATTTTACCTTAAATATCATTGAAATAATGACTGAAATTAAATAAAAAATCGAATATCAGTACATGTTCTTTCTATTTTTGTTCTGCTTAATCACAAATTGAATCTACCTAGCACAAATAAATGCCTAGAACGCTAGCAATCCTTATAAAATAGAGTGTTAACTCACGAAAACCCTAAATAATCAGTCTCGAGCTGCCTTTTCCGAGCATAAAATAATTGCTTTGTTTTCAAACATTCAATGCGTTTCTTTTTTGCCCAAATTTGCTGTCTAGTTTAGTCTGCTGTAATTTGAACAAAAGAAATGAGAAACCACCAATATATTCCGGGAAGATATTGTTGAATTTTGATTTTATTAGAGAAGTTTGATTCAAATAAGCTAGCTTTGAATTCATATTATGGATTTCAGAAAGCAAAATTCCAAGCTGTGCTGAAATATGACTGTATAAAAAAGTATACATCAAAGAATAAAAAATGATTGCAAAGTGCATCTTGGAATTATTTGGGGTATGCTGAATTTTCAAGAGTACTCTCGATGTACATTTATTGATTAGGGATATTTATAAATTCAGAAGACAGTCAGTACAATATTGAACTTGGCAAAGCCAAATATAATTATGGAAACAATATTTACTCTGTAAGAAACAGCGCCAAATTATTTCCACCAAAACTTATTTTTTTCTTTAGCAAGCATACTGAAAATGTAACAGATTGCACTATGTTTCTTTCGACAAACGAAATTCAAGCAAGTTGAATTTATCTCAGCAACTCATATAATTAGATATGTTAGCATGAAAATTGAAGCTAATGTGTGAAATACATTATCGCTAAAAAACCACTTTTGAATTTGTCTTTGTTTCTGAAAAAAAATCAAAAATGGAAAATCTTAAAAGTCCAACAAGTTATCACTTCAAGGCTAGCTATAGAGAAGCTGATGAAGTGAGGATTCTGTCCCAACTGCTATTAAATCAATTCTATTTGGTTTTTAAGCTTTTACAGCAATGGTAATTATTTTTTCTCTGAAATGAATTAACATCTACGGCCATATAATCTTATAAATTCACATAATGCAACAGCAAAGAAATAATTGAAGCAAAATTTAATAAAAATATAAATATTTGATGCTTCAGACTACTAAATTAAAAAATCTACCCTTTCAAACTATGCAACAAAAAATTATCTTATAATAATTTTTTTAATAATTGCCAAATAGAGTATCAAATATGCTATAATTTATATTTTTTGTAGTTGAACATGCTCCTTCCATCACTGATTATTTTCAAAATTTATAACAGATAAAAATTCAAACAGTTAGTAATTCAGTCAAGTAAATATCAAATATGTACTTCTAATTAGCCTAGATGGATAACCGAATTTACAAGCAATCGCACTATATGACTGTTTTTGAATGCAAGTGAAAATATTAAACATAAACGTTGGTAAAAAACGTACTTTTAAAGCTAATTAACTTTCAGTGTCTCTTAAATACGGTCAAAAATGTCGCCAATTAAGCGAATAATAAACAAAGTCCATTTCTGAAAATAATTCAGCAAGTTTTTAATATAAACTTTTTGCTGCATAAAATAACACTAATTATGAGGATTCTCTCACATTTCATGAAAAATTATTCGTTTAATATTAGAAACAAGCAAATAAATGAACCGAGAAACTTGGGATAAATTTTAGCTAATTAAATTGTTAAAAGTTGTGAGTTTAATTCGATTTGTTTTCTTGAAAGAATAAGCAATAAGCAGTTCATCTTTTTGCAATGCCTACAAAAAATAAAGCAAATCGAATTGTTAGCGAATACTGTGATTGAAATATTTTATTTGATTACAAATATCACTTTTAATTACTTAATTAACGCAACGTAGTAGTCACTGTATACATTTTGTAGAAGCTTCCGTTCTCAACATATTCTGATAAACAATTAATTGCTGTTGCAGAAGTATTGAAAAACACTCAACATCAGCAAGATTTGTGATGCACAGTACAATATCATTTTACATTTGGCACTGACAATTTTGGCATTCTCCATTTCGTGGCAAGCAAATCTTATTAAACTAAGAAACATAAAAAAGCAACCACCTCTGACCTCTCTATTTGAGGCAGTCAAGCATTTCATTCTCTTTTTCTGAATTTAGAAGGGATGCTCTAGGCCGAGTTCTGTTTTCCAGTTATGAAACAAAAATTGTGTCATTAAATGTTCTGAAATGGAAAAAAGTATGGAAAATTTTTATATCTGACGGATGTATTCTTTTATCCTAAGTCTGCAGCAAACTCTAAATAAGAGCATCAGTGAATAGGATAGAATGGTCAAAATCATGAAAATATATCTGCAATTATTAGAAATAACAGTGAAAAATGCGAATTATTTTAATGAGGACGACATTCATGCGAATTACTCTAATAAAGTATGTTCTAGTAACAAACACTTTCAATTTAACAATTTGATAAAAATTGTGATTAAAACGAATGAGATATAAGTTTATTATATTATATAAACAATGATAATAAAAATAAAGAAGGCAGCAAAAACAAATTAGATTGAAAAATACATTTGATACAGGAAAGAAAATTGACGAATGCAAATATGATACAGCAATAGTAGAATCCTCATTTCCCCAATTTTGTTTTTGCGATTGCCTAAATTACACATGAGACCTGAAATTAAAATAAAAGAATCGTGGTATAAGCAGCATAGATGTCTCCCAAGTTCTGCACTTTTACGCAAATTATGATAAATTTGATTAACACTAAAGGCTGGACTAGAAACATTTCAGCTAAATTCTGTTTAGAAGAGAAAATTGGTGCCATCTGAGTAGAAATCTAAATTCTATTTATGAACAATAATTCACTAATCATATAAAACTTGACTAAAAAATATGATTTCTATGCTACTTCAAGATAAAATTGATACATTTCCATGAAAAATGGAATGCGGCTAATAAAAACGTTAAAAAGAAATGATCAACAAAAAATTAATGAGTACATTAAATTACTCATATGAAAGCAAAAGCAGAAGAGAAATAACAAGAGTTGAAAGTAGCAAGACAAACTATCTTGGTGTTGTTCCAATTAAGAGCTGAAATGCATGCCAGAAATAAAAATAAAAACATTGATATTAGAAACGAAAACATTTTAATTGAAAATTTTTCATCAAAAGAAATGAATAGTTGGAATAAATTAATTAAAAATGAACTTGAATAGCTAGAATCTCATCACTAAATTATTTAAATGAGATTTATAGAAACACATGGTGCTGCATGATTGCACATATAACTGCCCTTTAAAGGACCACATTTGTACATAAACACTAACTTATACAATGACTAAATCGAGTGACAAAATGAGGATTTACAAGATTTAACCTTAAAACAAAATTCCCATATCCATCATCATAAAATGGATGTTTGAGATAAATAAATAGAGATTCTGATGTTCTAAACTTCATCAATGACTATTTCGAACAAGAGTACTTTTCAAATAAGTTTTTAAACAAAGAAATAAACTACTTAAAAATGAATTAAAAGAATCAATACAGTGAACACTGTTCGAATACTTCATGATAAGAGACCTATGCTTTGCAGAAAATGAAGGATTAGAAATGAAAACATTCGATACTGTACGTAAAAAGACGTTATCCAGAAGATATACTGACCAACAATTTTCCACCACAAAAAATATACTCTAACACCTTCTTCGCCTCGCACAAAAACTCCTTCTTTGTAATATCGATCTAAAAATGTAATTCATTTTACTAAAGAAAATTTAAAAACAAAGTGAAGAAACTTTCTTTGATCACCTAACTATTCTGACCATGAGCTAAGAATCACTGTAGTTATGCTTTACCAAAAAAGGCAACGATAAATTAAATTATAAACAGCAGTGTAGAAAATTTACCGAGAATATTATCTTTGTATTGGTAAACACTATACATCCAATCACGTAGTTTCTCTTCATCGTCAAATGGCACCTAAATTTGAAATCTTCATTTATGTCACATATAATTTATTAACAATGATATCGTTCTTCACAAAGAACCAATGTTAAAATTCACAAAGTGCTAATATCATGGAAATTGATGTTACTAATTTTCGACTTGCCTTCAATAATTGTAACTACGAATATAATTGCAAATAAGAAGGCCGAGAATATCTTTATATTTTCCTTCCCTATTTGAAACTCTTGTAAATAACTTCGTGAAATTCGTACTTGCAAAACTTTAAGAAAATAAATATGATATATTTTACTTTTCTTAATTATAAGGCAAGATAATTTTGAGTAGAGGATCATCAATTTCTAAATTAGTTCTGCTACAAAACGGGAGTAAATTAATTTCAAAAACCAATTTTCTCTCTTAAAAAACTTTCACAAATCATTCATTTTTAGCAGACTTTTTTGAAATCAAAAATATTGCTTACACAGAGAAGAAAGACAATATATCCTTTTTCTAACGTAATAACTAGTGAGCTTTAATTCTACTAGTTACTTTAACAATTTAAAGAATCAACGCTTACATCTCTGGCATCATAAATTTTGTAATGCACGCCAATATCACATGGTTCGCGAGTACCAAAGCTCAGAGTAAAAAGTGAAAGCGGCAATTTGTGCGGATATGCAATCGTCACATCTAATACGTATTTTACGGGAGGTCGCATTTCTAAAATTCAAAAATATCTAAAAAAATTGTGTTGCTGAAAATAAAATAAAATAAAAAGCACGAATACTATCAGACTTTCAAACATATCGCTCTGTCCTTTCATTGTCATCCATCAAATCTTTCACACAACTCACTATAGATCAAGTTGTTCAGTTCCATTCTGTTTGCCATGCTTCTTACTCCACAATTACTAAAAGATCACGTTTTTGCGAGAAGTTGACTACTAGAATTATATACTTTTACTTAATTACTTCAGATTTCTCTTTTACTTAATTACTTCAGTGACTGATATAATTAATAAGCATAATACAATCATAATTTATTGTTCGTTCAAAATTGAAAACTGTTTTTCTTTACTAAGTAAAGTACTTAAAAGAGAAACAATCGACTCTCTATACTTTACTAGCATAATATGTCTCTGAGAAGTGCTTAAATGAAATGTTAAGAAAAAGCTTCCTCCTGTTTGCTTTTCATTCATTACTTCTCTTTGCTCCTTTAAAAATCACTTTCCAACTTATAATTATTGATTTAAATAAATTGTTTGATTTCATTAATTTGTTTTAGTAGTATTGAAAAAAATTAATGCTTACATTTGATAGAGCAGAACTACCATTTTTATCAGGATTATTTTTAAATACCGTATAACTTTTTTTTGGTAGGACTGACTAGTTTTAACTTTAATAATTCTAATTTATTTAGTCAATTATTGCTTTTGAAACAACGGATTCTTATAAAAACATAAGATTGTTATATATTATAAATACAAAAGGATGATCCATATTATTAACTAAGAGTAAAATAACTTTTGAACTAAAATAACGCAGATTTAGTTCATAATGAAACACTAAAAATTTAACTCTGATTCCGAAAGATAAGCATGCACAAAAACATTAGAAAGAGATGCCCAATATCTCTTTTGGGAGAATGAATTTTTCAAGCAGTCAAAAGTAACTCTAAAAATATTTGAAATGAAAATAATATTTCGATTTAAATACTCTTTTAATAATATTAGAAGAACTAGCAAAAAGCTACTTATAGAAAAGCATCCTGAAGAATCTTTTTTGCGCTGTTTTCAGGTGGAAGTGAAGAAATTAAAATTGTACTGAATATTATGTACATCTGAAATATTTCATTACAGGTTTCCGTCCAAATCAATCCCCAAATGCCAAAGTCAACTTATAAAACTTCAGTTTTCCATTGAAAGCACTAAAATTCAGCAAATTTTGCTATTTATTAAATAATATTCTATCAGCAACAAATTATATGTCATAAATTCGCTTCATGATAAGATTGTATGTAATGACTTTTTTCTATGTAGATTAATTTAACATAGTTCAAAATTGAAATGGAAATTTTTTCCATAAAAATTTTAAATTCAAGGTTATAAAATGAAGTTTGATTCAAATTTATGACTTTGCTTTAATTCTTTACTTCTAAAATAATATTCTGCAGAAAACTTTACGCGATTAATTAAATAGCTCATTTTTAATAAACCCGTCAACAATGTTTCAGAGTACTAAAACCAAAGGCGAAAAATTGAAATCCAATAAAAGAAATTGATCATCACTTGCACGATGCACATACGACAGCTCTTGAAACTCAGAAAAATCGTTTCAGAATACCAACTAATGTACCACCAACTGTCCAGTAACAAAGGAATGCATCATTGGCAAGATCAACGGTCTTAAGACTAAAGGTATTATAAATGAAATGCTTCAAATTTTAGTGAATTATAATCTACTCGACAATTTCCTTTTTATTTGTGTGAATAATATGCCCTTCCTTCATAAAAGTTGGAAATAATAAAATTATGTAGATTCTTTTTAAAGTAGAAAATAAACAGAATTATATAAATTTGCAAATATGTAAAAAATATTTAATAAATTTTTATTATCAATAAATTGAAAAATTAATTTTGCAGACTATTTATTTTCATTACATTGTATCACCTAATATTGCAAAAGGTTTAACTTGAAAATGGCATTATAAGTTCTATGCAGTGTTAAAAAATAAAATGAAAACAAACCTTTTATATATTTTTTCTCTCGTATTGCTCCCACAGTGTCTTTTATAAGCTTTAATTTGCTACCGTTTTTAGATATAGCCGTATCAATGTTTTCATATCCTTTTTTAGGACCCACTTCTTCCATAATTGCCTTTACAGCTCCAAAACGAGGCAATGTTGCATGTTCTAAATGTGGATATCCATGTTCTTTACCGTACCTGAATATGAACTCAGCTGCTCAATTTTCACGAATTGTTCGCGCTTAATTTATCTGATTACTCTACATATATATTAATAACCTTTATTTCTTTAAACTCGATTTTGTCATCTCAGCCTTCATAATTATTTGATCTTTTCTTATTCTTGCAAGATATTCTGGTAAGCAATTAATGCCTAGCAAAGAATAATATACTCTAGTAACAAAAAATCATTACTTCTGACTAGACTTGATCCTTTTGTAGTAAAAACCACCTTCTGGAAAGAGAATAACCCAATGACGATCTCGATCCCAAAAAACCTTTCGCAAATGATCCTTCAAACGAATTAGTTCTTTCTCCCGTGTTGCTTTGCCCTGTCTGATAAAATAATCTCCATGCATTTGACCAATTATTCCAAAAGGTGTCCAACGAAACATGACATCCATCAACCAGAGGGTCTACAACTCTAAGTGAAATTTATAGCATACGAAAATATTAGATAAAACCTTTTGATTTTACTAACGCTTCGTAATCTTACGCTATGTGCAGAAAAACTTTCATAAATTATATTGGCAAATAATACCTTCCTACTAGCAACTCCTTTACTTTGAAGAATAGTCATCAATACAGGAACATCAGCAGTGCTCTGATGATTGCACATAAGGATAATTCGTTCATTAACACAAAATTTTTCGACGTCATCACCATATTCATACACTGAAAGACATACTTCGTCTATTATTTTAAAATCTGAAAAGAACAATCAGTTTCTGCACGAACTAAAAAATTTATTTTTCGGTTCATAGAAAAGTAACCATCGTATCCTGCAGTGTAACCAGAATAACCAACAAATGCTTGCAAACAAGAGTATAGTTTCCCTTCGTAAAACCAATATAACCTCGGCCTAAAAATAAGGTAGTCTCGTAATTTGTTGTTAAAGCAACAACCAATCAATTTACAGAATGATATGATTTTTACTCAACAATACTATTTCTATATTTTGATCACTGAAGCTTACGATATAAATTTTATTTGTAACAAAAGGATAATGTACAACTACTTACCATAAAGATCGCGCCCAAAGAACTGGAAACATAAAGCCAAAATAAGCTAGTAAAAATATAGTGACGTTTGACAAACATAATAGAGTACGAAATGGTGTTTGAAGTATCCATATAATTCTGAAAAATTTTGCAAGCAATTCAGCAGCGAGCCAAAATGACAATGATTAAAAATTTTCGCAACTGTTTTTTTCACAAATAAAAATAAAACCTTATATAAGACACACTCATACTAATGTGAAATGAATAATTCGAAATCATTAAATAAATACTGCGAAATTATTTTTACCTCATATAAAATACATTCATTGGTAATGATTATAGCATATATATAAACTTAAATTTTCTGTCAAAAATGTAGTAGCAGGAAAACAAAGCACTTTCTACCTTCCCACATTCTTCACCATTAAATTTTTATTTTCTTCAATAATAAATCAGATACTTAGAAGTTTGTAAACCATATGCAATCTTCAGAAAATGATATAAAAATTCAATAGTGCAAAACAAACCGTTCTAGATTAGTTTTAGTGGCCCAAGCAGACTTATCACCTGGTGGTTTGTAAGGAGAATGTGGACGCATTTCGGGTGCTGGTATCGAAGAAATTGTAGCCATATTTGTTATTTTCAGAATTATTCCTTTTTCTATTTAAACAATGCCGTTTGGTTCAATTTTATACACCTCCCAACACCAAATCAATCACTGTAAGAAGCAAGAAATATATATTCTGTCTTACCTCACTATCACGAGAAGTCATATCTCTATACTTTTTTTTCCAAAGCACAAAACAAACGTCAAAAAAGACTGACATACCAATCAGTTATTTCATTATAACTTAATCTGACAGTTGAAGATAAGGGATTTAACACTGTCAAAAAAAATTAATTTGCTTAAAACAAATGAAATCTTGAATAATTGTAGAAATCACAAACATTGATAATTTAGCAAATTAAAACTAATAAATATTCATTGCAAACAATAACATGAATTAACTGATTTTTGCACTAATTAATACGCATTTTGATTAAAGAGAAGAACTCTTTGACTTTTATATTTACAAATTAATGATAAGCAATCAGCGAAAATGCAAGATTGTTGCATGTAACACATTAATAATTGAAAAACAAATTTTTTGAAAACTAGTGATAAAAACTCTCAATAAACAGGCATTATCATTAAAAAAAGTTGGAATGCATTTTTTGCAGAAAATATTAAAAGTAGTGATTATTAGACAAAACATTTCACTTTCTTAATTAATATGACTGGCCAATACATTATTTTAAATTGTGCAAATAAGTTACTGGGTTATACAGGAATAAATATTTACATTACCTGAAGAGCTTTCAACTACTATTCCTATTCTTACAGTTATTTGTTTTCCTAATGTGATACTCATGAACTACAGAAATGAATACTACTTAGTTTGAGTTGTGACCAATGTCTTGATAGATTCAAACGGATTTGATTAGACGTCACGACTCACGCATCAAATAGCAGTGTTTGCCACAGCATTTACTCAATTATTAAGAAAAAAAGTTTAATTTATTCTTTGTCCTTCGATTTTCTTCTAATCCCAAGCAGTTTGTATACGAAATGCTTGCTGCAAGTACTTACTTATTTTTCCTATCTTTTGACGGAAGTAAGTGAAAAAATAGAAGGAAAAGCAAAATAAAAGCATCGCTAAAACACGAAACAAAGTATTCAGTTAAAATAACCAAAACAAAGTAGAAATTGTTCTTTTCAAGACGCAAAATTTCATCTTTCCGCCTAAATCATTGCGTTGGTTGCAGCGCAATGTCGTTAAATGACACGTGTAAATGAAGTTTGCATTCACATGACATGGAAATAGCATTGAATATATTGTACTCTCTGAAAACAATAAGTGATTTATGCTAGAATCTGGAATGTATAATTGATATGCAAAACATTCAAAGTCATAAAGTATATGATATATTGAAAGCAAACAAGTTTTTATAGCACGCTGAAACACATAAAGATTGAGCACTTTGGATTCCATTTACATGTAGCATTCACGTAAAAGTTTGGCTTTGTGAGAAGCTTAACTAGTTGCAACAACTTTTCACTGCTAGTCAGTAAATACGAAAAACTTGTTATGAATCAGTATAAGTTAGGATTTAATACTGAAGACAAGACTTATTATATACGCAAATAATCAATAACTTTGGAATTCTTATTGCAGTTTGTTTAACTCACACTTGTTAAAGCTGCCAAGAACTATCATTGTATTATAATTGGTAACTGAATATGATATTATCATTTTGTGGATCTCAAGTTAAACAGACAAAATAAATGCGAGTGTTGACGAAACCGATAATCAATAGCAAATTTATTTTTGGATAATGACGCTAGCAGACAACGAGAGGATGTGGAGCATTTAAAGAGGTCAAAGGTGAGGATTAATCTCTGATCGCACATCATTATACTACTGGCTTGAACTAGAAAGTAATAAGAAGCAGAATATTGATTCAAAACTGAGTTGATGAGCAAAATCTGAGTGATCTTGGGTGTAGAGAAATGCACACTGAATTAAATATTAAATCGGTAAATAAAGAATGAGTGACGAGTGACTAAGACATCAGAAGAAAAATCTGCAGTGATGACGCAATTGGGCGTCATTTGACGAATTTTTTTGCGATTAAATAATTGACGCAAAAAACTTGATGTTGTGGTGCAGTGATAGCGAAGAGCCAGTGGTACTCTGAGAGTGACCTCTTCGTAAATAAAGGCACTCCGAGAGTGACCTGTTCGTGAATAAAAATGGATGTTAAACAACATAAAAATCCTGATGCGTCATTGTAAATCGTTAATTACTTTCAAGTGAAAGTAATGACGTAATTTTTTAGTTTTGACATTAATCATTTTTTATCAAAAAGCATAAGCAATGGAGTAATGTTTACTTTTTGCAAATAAAAATGGTGAGAAATTTTTAAATTCTATTATTTATGACAGAAGTTTTCATTGTTATCGATAATTACTGTCATTTGGAAAAAACCAAAATAGAAATTAGCTTTGAGTGCGATAGAAACTGAGTAGCTGACCTCTGGCTATTTTGCTGCTATTTGTCAGATTTTGGCCTCAATATTCATTCAAGTTACTACCGAAGTATTTAACTTGCGTACCAAATATTGCAATCGATACTTTTTGTAATTTATTAAGAATTATGTGGTATTTTTGCTCGACTGAATATATAAAAGCAAATATAAAAAATAATATTTTAAAAGCAAATAATAACAAATCAATAAATTCATATTTATTACTCATTTGAGCTGACAAATATTTACATAAAATAAAATAAGTGAACACAAGAAATGCTGCAGTAAAGAAGCTACAAGAAGAACATTAGATTAAATATTTATACAGAAATAATTGTAATATTACTTTATTTTATAAATACAAACAAGTATAACTATGAATGCAAACCTATCAAAAGTTAAAATAAAAATTATTACTGATTGCTTAATTACTGATAAAATCATTACTGATAATTTCGATGTGCTAAACATTCTTCGATAATTAGGAAGGATTACCACGTCTAATTATCAGAAAATGTTTTCTAACAAAATTTTGCTCCTTGAACTTCTTGATGTGTCATTTTAAGCTTTTACCGTGCCTTAAAAACAGAAGCATTTGAGCGTTTTGATTTTGTAAATATGTCAAAATTGATAAAAGTTATGACAGCAAAGAGAGTCAGTCTGTTGTTTGCCAGAGCAATTTTTAGATATTTTGCTGATTAACGTGTAATGGCCTTGAAAGTCCTAACATTCGAATTCTGCAAAGTTGTGCTGATGAACTTTTCACGGACTTTGAAATTACAGAAATATTAGAGTAATAAATTTTAACTCCTTTGTATATGAAGTAGCTCTGTTATAAAATCCTATCAAACTGGCTTGAGTTACAGCGTACAAATTAGATGAAGAAGGAGGAGAATTTAATGTACACCATCAAATTTGAAAGTAAAATGAAGCTTTACGAATACGAATTCCAAAAAATTACCCAAATTTGGAATCTAAAGTAAATCTTAATTCTAAAATTCTCAAAATTTTCAAATGTCATTAAAATCAACTAAAAGTTAGCTAAAATATTGCATAATGATGCAAACAGAAGTAGGAAATTTGCATGATGAGTGCTGTCCACTTAAATACACGTGAGATGAATTTGCAGTTGCATTATCTGATATTGTAGCCGTTCAATCAGCAAAACTTTCAGTAAATTATACGATAGTTTGCTGGCTTTTCGATTCTTTATTCTGCTGCGTTTATAATTTGTATTAGTGAACAATTTTTGACTGATAGTAGTAAAACTGTAAAAAACTTAATCACATAACATCTGAACTATTTCTCAGAGCTATGCTTCTCAGAGCTGAGAATAATCCTTTCATTGAGGAATTTTTTTTCAATTAAAATTATATTCTGTTCAAAACTGTAAAACATGCTTTCTATGTCACTAATTTTCACATGTTTGATTGCTTTTACTTCTTAAAATGAAATGTATTTTATTAACTTATTGCTGAAATGCTAACAGTACGTTATTGATTTTTCACAATTTTACTAGATAAAAACTAAGTAAATAATAATTTGGCCTTGATCGAGAGCTTTCTGCTTTTTGAGGTGAGGCATAGCAACAGTAATGCCGAAAAAAAACAAGGAAATTTTAAATCCAATTCCACCGCCACAGTTTGAAAATGAAAAGTCTGTTGTTGATGATAACATCGCTGCAGAGCTCACCCCTGGCCCTGACACTGAAGAGGTCATATTTTTCGCTTATTTTTCACTAATTACAATAATGCTAACAAATACTATCATCAGAAGAATTGTGAAAAATAATTATCATTTAGTGCTGTTATAATTTAGCTTTTTTGACCTCAAAATGCATATTATTGTATGAAGAAAATGAACTGAAGATGATACTTCTAAAACAGATCTAAATCTGTTTGCAGCTTTCTGATATATCAGAAGACTATGCAGGTTCCACAATAAGCTCCAAAAGTTCGAGTTCACATTCTACATGGTACAGAGTAAGCCATTGCTCAATTTTTTTAAAGAAATTTTTACTTTAAAACTGAATTATGTTATTGATAACTAATAACTTGAAACTGAATTATGTTATTGATGACTAATAACTTCTTCATATGAAATATTTCTTAACAACTATTAAAATTTTCAATCTTGCAAAAGATGATTCTGCTAAATCCTAATTATCTGCACGATATTCCTACTTGTCATACATAAATAGACAGTTTTCTAAATATAATAATAAACTTTGACCTGCGATGTTTTAGCGAATCGCTCCATTAGTGAGGAATAAGCAAGTGAGGGTGCTATCACTTATCAACTGCATTTTGACAATGATCAACATGATTTTTTTCCTTGCTCTTCTGGCACTCAGTTGCTGGCTTGTTGCACTTAAAATGAAGGCAGTCTCTTCGTTACTGATTATCACAGTTTATGATTAGATCATTTGATCACACTTTTATCAGTGACTGTTGTCCACTGGTCAAAAATTATCATAACTAAAAAGCTTTTCATTATATGAAACAGAAAATATTTTATACTAATAATTTAACTGTTTGAAGAATTATATTTCAGTATTTTGAGCTTCGCCAAGCTGATATGCCTTGTTTGTACCAATTTAAGCCATGGTCCGAGTGTTCTGCAACTTGTTGGGCTGAAAATGAATCGATGCCACTTATGAAACGTGAAATTGACGAAACAAAATTAGTATTAGCACGTGGAAAGAGCTTTGCAAAATGTCCACCAAACATTAAAAAGGGTTTAGTACAACGAGCTCCATGTAATTTGCAGAAGTAATATCTCTTGAATTTGATATTTGTAACAAAGATTTTAGCTTGAATTAATTGTAAGGATAAGTGAATAATTACTGCAACAATAATTTTTGAAAAATTGCTCTTCTTATATTTTTTAACAAATTTATAATCATTGGTAAAAAAACATTTTCATAAATAATTATTAATATCAATTAATAAGTTGAAATGACAAATATGTTAATTCATTATCACTTCTTGGCAGTAGAAAGATAGAATTTGTTGCAGGAACAATGCATACAAAAGTTAATAAAATTTCAGTTATGTCAATTATAAATATCATTTTATTGCATGATAACTAAAAGTCGAAACAAAAAAAGTAGTTTTTATAGAAATGAAGTTTCTTTAATGAACAAAACAGTCTTAGACCAACCTAAAGTTACACTGAATATTCTTTTAGTTGGAATCGTGTTTGGAACAATTGGTATTTGAAATTATATCATTCTCAAATTTGCAAATAGATAAACCATTTAATTTTGTTAACTCGTAGATTGAAACATTATTAAGCAGTTTTCAGATGTCCGTTGAAATTGAGTTCATTTACAAATTGGACCGCTTGTGCTCATAAGTATCCAACTTTGCGTAAAAAAGGAGGATGTTACCAATTACGTAAACTTCCGCTTGAAAATAGACTTATTTACATAGATACACTGGAGCTTTCGAGAAATTGCCCAGATGAATTATGTCCCGAGTATATACCATAATAAGTGTGTGAACAGAATTCTTTGTAAAATGAATTTGTGATAATGAGATGAATTACAAGTCCTTATTCGTAATCTTAATTATATTGTTGATTAACATATTGTATTAGTACCAATTTCGTTCTTTTTTCACAAATTCATAATCGTAATTTTACTTTCGCGCGAACAAACAAATAGTATATATATTTTTTAAACTACTAAATTTTGAAAAATCTTTTTATTTTAACTTTTGTTGTTGAAACAACTTCCCTCTCCTTTATTCTTCTAGCTGGTTCATAAATGTAAAGTTGAAAACTTAAATTTTGGTTAAATAAAAATGATTTAATTAGACAGAAAAATTATTCAAAGCATAGAAATGGAATAATCGCGTGATAATATTAAAGGACATCGAAGTTTTTAATTTTGGGAATGAACTTTTAAAACCTTTTCAGCTTTAAAAACACCAAATAAGGCATTCAACGAAAAAATAAGCAGGTTATGCATATTTAAATGCAATTAGACCAGTATGTACCATAATAATCAAAATAATCATTAGACTAGATTTGTAATATCAATTGAAACTTTCATTACAATTAGTATGCAAATTTTTGCATTCGCAAAATATAGTATTAATATTTCGATCTAGCTGCACTGTAGTAAGTAACTTTTAAAATGTACAAAGTTGACTGCTCTAGTGAGATTGTTTTGCTTAAACAATCCATAAACAATGTACTGAATAACTTTAGCTGCTATGTTATAAAAAAGAAAACTGACGGAAAGTTATTACTTTGTGGGATTAGAGGTGAATAAAGATAAGTCTATCTTATCATTTTGAACTTTTTCAGTTTAATTTAAATGAAAACAAGGTGATAAGAGGCGAAAAAACAGATAGCTGAAGTTGGGCAAATTTGCAAAAGCTAACATTTATTGCAGTAAATAAAAAAGGGCAATGTTTATGCAAGAACGTGTTGAGAAACTTCCATACATCTCAACTTCCCAATTTTTTCAGCCTTGCAAATCTTCCACCAAAGCTGTAATTAAGTTATATTTAATTATCGGTGATTGGCTCCCAAATATGACTTCAATCTGTTCACCAAAAACTGAGTTTCTTCCTGAAATTTTCTAGTAAAAGTTGTTTTGGATGAAGTACTGAGCAGTGTTTTCAGCTCTCCTTATAAGTTTGCATGTTCTGATTGCATTAATTAAAAAATGTTTACATTTTTTAAATCCACTCATAAGAGTTACAATTCTTTGAATTTTGATTTTTCCGTTGAAACTGAGTTCGTTCACGAAATACACCGCTTGTGCTCATAAAAATCTACTTCTGCGCAAAGAAGGAGCATGCTATGCAATACGTAAACTCCCGCTTGAAAATTGACTCTTACTTGGAGAATAAATTTCTTGAATTTTGATATTTGTATCGCTTTGCATAAAATGACTCCTTATTAATTCATTTCTTTGAATTAATTACTTTTTGTGATTTTATATAATTTGTTTAAAGTTCTTTACTCAAATTAGATCAACTACATTGTTGACGTGAGAGAGTAATTATTCATCTTTGTTTTTTGCTTACATGAAGTTAACAATATTCCAAAATTAGTAAGTTTAATAATGGAATAAATCCATTTTATTCGATAATAGTAGGCTGATAAATGAAACGAAGTATAATATCTCTCAAACATTAAATATTTTGGTTGCGAGTACAATGTTTACGATGCTTATCACTAAAACATTTCCTACTCTCTAATTATATCTCAATGAACTGTATATATTTCAATGAGTATTTCTGATATGATCGAACTGATCTAAGTAGATCAAATGTTGATCATTCTGCTTGATATTACGGCGATTAAAACCATCCATAACAGATCATTTCTGGAATGTTTAACATTTATGTAATCATAAGTATCGAAATGGCGCTAGCCAATGTATGAAAAAAGGTGCGCTCATTGATCAACATCGTAAAACTTGAAATAGTTTGAATTTTTGGTTTTGTTTGAGATTTTACATTTATATGAGCCTCTGAGATTTAGTAATTAAGTATATACTGCTTTGTAATTTATTAATGAGAAATGTCTGTTTAATCATTTGCGTTTTAAAAGATTTTGACTGCATTGCTATATTAATATAAATTATTATTCGCTGCAAAAACAGCTTTTTAGAGTTTTCGCACTTCTCAAATTTGAAAAATTTGATGTCATCAAAACAGGAGTGTACAGAAATTTATTTAAATTCGTTCAGTAATTTAAGAATTATAAACTTCCAACTTTTGATTACTCAATGAGATTTATTCATTTCGATATGTTAAAACTTACCCTAGTAGCAACCGTATAAAAAAAATCGTATAATGATGAAGCGAAGGATGAAAGTTATTATTGTTATAATTTATCAAGGGTTTCATTTGAAGTATGTGAATCTGAGACAATCAGTACTTAAACTCTTATCAGTTTGATTAGTGTATTAGTATAAGTTCCATATTACTGAGAATTGGATTAATTCCGATTACACTGCAGATGATTTAAGCTCGGAATACTACTAAGCTAATCAAACTGATAAGAGTTTAAATACTGATTATCTCAGATTTCTAATCTTATGAGTACTTAAAAAGTTATTGTATTTGACATGCTTCTAATACAAGCACAAACGAACTAAAAAAATGCATAAGTTAGCCAAGTAACGCTAAGTAAGGCCAAGTTATGCAAAAGGCTAATGCAAAATGATAATTAAGAAAATCGAATTTTAATAGCTAAAGAAATGCTAATGAACATGAATTTTGAATTGCCTTTCTACTTGAGCCAGTCTATTATCTGGAATAAATTAAGACTATAGTAAGCAAACAATTTGGCAGAAAGCAATCTTGCAGTCAAAAATAGATATTCCTCTCAAAAAACTGTAAAATAAGCAAAAAATTTTAACTTTACAGTCAATAATTTATCAAATAAAATGCTAATTTGAGTCAAAACAACAGCAAATTCTATTTTTTTAATTAGTTGCTAGCATTGATTGAATTATAAATTTTGCACCGATTTATAAGCTCAGTTTCAATTTCACTCAAATATCGCATGAGGATTCCCGCTGGGAATTCGTTGACAGGTCTGAATTATTTCAAATGGTTTAGCTCAATTGTAAAGTGAAAAGTAAGCTATTTTCTTTATTTACTATTTTCAACAATAATCTGTTTACGATTGATTTTGTTTTTTACACCTGCGAATAATAATTATTAATTAATTGCCTTGCACCTGTGAGAGTATTAATTATTAATTATTAATTAATTGCTTTTCACCTGTGAGAATGTTAATTGATTTAATATTTTCGTTATTTATGGAAATTCTTTCAATTAAATTTGGATTTATTTTTTAACATTTATCAAGATTTCATGCTAATCTTAGCAATTATTAAGAATTAGAGTAAGGTTTTTATCACATGCAATGTCGAACTACAATTGATATTAAGAAGTGAGCATGAAAGGATTAAATTTTATTCATTCTTATCTGATGACAAGTGTTAAAGAGTTAGATCGACCTACTTGTTGTTTAGCACTAACTATCAAAAGATATATCAAGTTACTTTTCATCAAATCAGAGCTAACTAACTTGTAGTAACTAATAATAATTAGATTCTAGACTCTAATTAGTTTGCGACTGACTATTTAAAAGCATATCAGGTGAGGAGCAAGACTTGATAAAATCCATTGATAATCCCTAACTTGCATTATTTTCCTGACTAAACGTCTTCATTTCTACTACAGAAAATGATTATTACTGAATTAAATTTGGCTAAACGTTGCCACTTTACTTGTTTGTTTCTATTCAAAAGTGAGTTAAGATAGTACTGCATTTGGAATGAAAACTTTTAATTAAATAAATTTGTCTTAGCATTCACAAATAAACGTTAAAAATTAAACGTAACAATTAAAACTTCAAGTGACTTATAATTTGTGCAAAAGAATGCTAGGAATAAACTGAAAATGATTGTTAAATTTTGTAAAATTTTTATTTTCAAAAATTATTATTATATCTGGCATTTTTATTATTGCATTAGGCATATTCCAATCAATGATTCTTGTAAGTTAGAGTATTTTAACCTTTAAAAAAATGGCAGAAGCATTATTTAGCTGAAGTATTTGCATTCTCAGAGTTGAATCTGTCACGTAATCTGTCACGTAACTAAGTTTTAGTCTCAAAATCAAATTCGATTTCAATCACTTCTCAAAATTGAATTTGTTTACAAAAAATAGTGTTTGCTACTTTCTTCGATTCATTAGTTTACAAAACAATTTGAGCAATTTGAAAGACTTCTTCTATCCGTTTGTTAATAAATCTCAGAATAATTATCTTTCTTTTATTATCATCTTTTGCAGCAATCATCGAAAAAAATTAGCCATAACAATAATGTGTGTGTAATGATCGATGAAGTAAAACAACAAAACTTTACAGCAATGAAAAAAGGCACAAATTTTTACTGAAAACACAAATTTTGAATAAAAGAAAAAGTTTACATTCATTTAAAGTATGCGAATGAAAAAATTAGCTGCGAATAACTTGAAGTAATTCACACAGAATTTCTATGGAAACTTGAATAGAAACAATATATTACTGGAATTATTCTGCTTTCAAAATATTATTTAAAGCATAAATTTTAAGCTAAAATTTCGAGAAGAAATAATTTGAAGCTTTCATTTTAGTTTGACTTATTGCAATGTTTTATTTGATTGGCCCTAATTTTATAACAATCATTAAAATGCATTTTGATATTTTTGAAATACCTAAAAAATTATTGCTATATTATTATATCTGTTTGGAATATTTATTTCATTCACATTCTCACTTCTATTATTGCCTTTTTGCTTCGTTTGTTATTATTATATTAACTATTTGTTATTATTATTATTATATCATGTTATTATTATTATATAAAAGTTATTATTATATTAATTATAAAAATTTTGAAAGTATTGGTAACTTCAATTTAAGATTGTGATAATATTATTCGTTTTTTAACTTTGATTAATTGATATTTATTCTCAAATTATACTACACAATCTATAATAAATTGTGGATTAATGAGCTGATCTGTTTTCAAAATAATTTGAATTTAAATTTGATTTTGTTTTTTAAGTTTATTTCAAGTCAACTCACTAGCCAACAACAAAGACGCAAGGCGTAAGAATTTTGATTCAAGCAAAACATTATGACAGGAGTTCATATTAGTCCAAAGACCCGAAGAATATGAGTTTTATGAAGAAAACTAAATTTGCAATGGCAGTACGGATATGATTTAATCACATTAGTCTTTACTTTCGCTAATATTTTAACGATGGTTTTATTAGCAGATATTAAAATTTTAAATGATACCAATTTTTATCATTTTCAACTGCTAACACAATTATTCTCTAAATTTGCATGAATAATTATGCTCCAAATCGAGTAAAAAGTAAAGACAAATGTGATTAAATCATATCCGTACTGCCATTGTAAATCTAGTTTTCTTCATAAAACTCATATTCGAAATCGAAACCAATAAATTACTATAAAATAAACATTTTTGAGAAAGCAAAAACCTTTTCAAAGCAAAAAAACAATTAATTTCCGTTCGTACTTTTCATATTTTTTCGGTTACATAATAATAATAACCGAAAAACAACAATCCATTGGATCATTCTTTCTATCATAACTAATAACTAAATACTAATCTTCCGGATTATTTCTTCCATAATTCTGTCTCATTCAAGGCAAAGAGGATGAATAAATTAGAATATTTGTTAGTTCATTTGAATATATTGCATTATTATTCTATTCTAATTTAATCTTATTTCCTTTGCTTTTTTCCATCTCACAATTTAATATGTTCTCAAAAAAATTATTTTGTTACAAAAACTAATCTTTAAAATATATCACAATCAAATATGATTTGTTCTCTTTTTTGATCTACTTTTACCTCAGTAACTTCGTCTCATTAGATTCAAACTGAACATTTATGAATACTTTTGAAAAACTGTATAAATTTTTTATTCGAAATGTATTGGTATTATGATTTTGATCATTTTAGTATGTATCAGTATTTAATTAATTGCTGGATGTTTTAGTTAATTAATTTTTAATTATAAAAACATGCTAATTAATTTTTTTAATTTTAATTTTTAATTATTGCTTAAAATGCTTAATTAAGTGCATCACAATCTTTAGCTGTTTTGATAACTTACTTTTTCTTTTGAAAGTTTGAATTTGAAACTGAAACAAAATCTTCGAAAAATATTTTCATTCATAACTTTTTTATCATTCATATCACTAATTATTTGCATTAAAAGTTTGCAGTTGTGTCAATATTATGCTTATTTCTTGTTGAATATTCTTTATTACTCGACGAATTCATTATTAATT